CAGATCTCCTTCTCGAGGCTGTGAAGTTGAACGCTGATCGTGATCATGGCATCTATTTCATTGTGGTCATAAGAGCTGTACTTCAAAGTCTGCCACAGATACCAAGCACTTTTCTCCATCGCGTCAGCCACATCGTCCAAGTTGGCCTGTCGCGAGTGCTCCATGAACGCTTCGAACCACCTTCCGCCTCCACAAGGCGTGTCGAAGTGATTGCATCCCAGCAGACGCAACAGCAAAGCCGGGATTTTGTGGCCCAGCCGAGGTGCATCAGCACGCAGGTGCCACGCATCATGGTTGACGTTGCCCTGGTTGAAAAAGGAAGCAACACAGTCAACACAGATTCAACATCGTGGCGTTTTGTCATGGAAAATGTGTCCGACCAATACAGACTTAAACTATTGAACCATCCGACAAATCATTGAACATGAGCGAGGCACGATGAACCTGGGAGTATTCCTCAAGGAGTTCTGGGACACCGTGGCGCTCCAGTTTTTTGAACTGGTAGAGGAATTTCTTCCAACTGATCCACCGGCTTTTGCAGCTCGCATGCCCTGCAGCACCACACCCAATCGGGCTCAGGGCCACCACCCTGTTGCCACCTCCACAACGAATCTGCGAAGAAGTTTTTTGGCAACAGTCTGTCGCATGCCGGGCACTGCATGGCTGAGAGGAAGGCTATTAAAAAGGTCAGTAATTGCCCTAAGCTACAGTGTCGGAAAATGATGACAGTGGAAAGTGTGATGTGTTGAGTGGTTGATGTGGAACGTTGCCATTTAGCTTGAGAACACATGACTGACATTTGTTTGACAGTGGGCAGGGCCGGTAGCTGACCACAAAACTGCTGCAAATACATGAATCAATGCAAGTTCAAGGTTGCTTGCAAAACATTAGTAAGTCTGAATGTGACAAAGATTCTTGTGAATCTGAATGAACAATTTCTTGAAAGTGAATGAAAAAGAATGTGAACCTGAAAAGGACAGTGAATCTGAATGAAAAAGACTAAGAATTTGTAATGAAGGCCTCTGAATGTGAACATGACTGAAGGCTTCTGTAAAAACAGCCAATTTATCTGAAGCATCATGTCTGACTGACAGTCTGAGTCCGTGACCTGGGGGAGAGCAGAGCGCACCGCCGTGGGCAACACCTTGCAAGCGGGGAAGTTGCATCATCTCGTCACTCACAAAATCAAAGTCAAAAAGCAAAACTGAAAATCAAACTCAGAAATAGTAACTTAACTATCATGCTCAGAAAATCACAGAAACCCAATGATAAAATACTCAATCAGAACATCATAGTCCGAAAATAACTCTGATTCAGAAAATCAAAGTCAGAACATTCGACTTAAATTCAACAAATGCTCTGTCAGAAAATCTGGTTTACAACACAATGTTCAGGCTGTACTATAGAGTGGACTTGTCTGATGTGTGGTTCAAAGCCTCCGACAAGCGGAGCAGATGGCCTGGCCGGACAAGTAACAACGTCCAAGCACACGTAAATTGTTACGTCGCCTGACAGCAAGAAGGTCCTACTGAAGCATCGCCCTTTTTAACGCCTTTTTGAAGCAAGGAGGTCCTGCTGTCTCAAGATACCGGGCCAGCAACTTTTAATTACTAATTCATCATTTGCCTTATCAGCACTCAATCGGTATCGCTCGATGACGGGCTCGTGTGTCAAGCTACCTAGCCCTGATGGCGGTGCATATGTGCATTCCGCGATATCTTCTCTAAAGCCTTGGCCGCGCCAAGCGCAGTCTTCTCTTCAAAGATGATCTTGTGGCATTGCAGGCATCTTTTTTGGATCTTGAAGGCATTCGTTCCGGCCTTGGTTGTGTAGAGGTGATTGCACCCAACCTTGTGATCTGTCCTTTTGATCAGGGGCTGATGCTCTGTCCACGCGAAGAAGTCGCATTGATCTTTTCCTTGCAGAGGGCACATCCAATAGAGCCGATCGATTGTTTTTTCGTTGCGGCTCACTGCCAATTGGGCCCCTTTCCGATGAAGACACAGTGGCGGTGTTCCCATCATCAGGTGGATCTCTGGTGTGATCTCTCCAGTGGACATGTCTTGGCTCTCTGGTGTGATCTCTCTCTGGTGTGAGCTCTCCATCTCCACTGCGTCCAAGATGTACCACTGCGTCGTTGAGTCGGGGGGATCCTTGGGCTCGTTGGGTATTCCTCGAAGCTGGGCTTGTAAAGTGCTCTTCTGGTTGAACATCAAAGGTAAGGGTGGCACTAGTCCGGTGACCAAAGGTGTCAAGCGCTTCGTGACATAGATGACCATGGCAAGGATCCGTCGCCACATCTCCATGGGATTGAAATAGGGTTCCATGGCTATTGGTGGTGCAAAACCCCTGCTGGCCTTTAGAGCCAGGGCAAATGCCTTCAGAGCCAAGGCTGTAGTTTCCATTCACAATCACAATCACAATCACAATCACAACGCAACTTGAACATGGTACCCGGAAGTGATACATGAGGTCCACCAAGAAGGGCGTATCGAGTTTTCCAAGACCACTGGGCCATGCTGGCGGGGATCAATGACACCTAAACTTGGCTCTGGACCTCCCATGATGTGGCTACAAGATTCTCCTACCCACAGCAGTATGTTGACACGCAATATCAAGAGCAGCACATGTGCAGGTAATCTGGCCAGGGGCGCCATGAGTGTGAATCTCATCAGCTTTGCCGCCACGACTGGGT